CTACTAAAAATACAAAAAATTAGCTGGGTGTGGTGGCGAGTGCCTATAATCCCAGTTACTTGGGAGGCTGAGGCATGGAGACTCGCTTGAATCTGGGAGGTGGGGGTTGCAGTGAGCTGAGATCGCATCCCTGCACTCCAGCCTGGGTAACAGAGTGAGACTCCATCTAAAAATAATAAATAATAATAATAATAACAAATTAGTAATAGTGGAGGGGAGATAGATCTAACCAAATAACTTGTCTTCTTAAAAACTTTCAGTGATTTATTCAGTACCTAGAGAACAAAGCTCCTTATATATGTATTTTTTGAGACGGAGTCTTGCTCTGTTGCCCAGGCTGGAGTGCAGTGGGGTGATCTCAGCTCACTGCAACCTCCACCTCCCAGGTTCAAGCAATTCTGTGCCTCAGCCTCCCAAGTAGCTGGGATTACTTGCATGCGTCACCACGCCCAGCTACTTTTTGTAGTTTTAGTAGAGATGGGGTTTTGCCATCTTGGCCAGGCTGGTCTTGAACTGACCACGTGATCCACCCACCTTGGCTTCCCAAAGTGCTGGGATTACAGGCTTGAGCCACTGCGCCTGGCCTCTTCTTACATGTTTTGTTGTTGTTGCTTGCTTTTTGGGACAAGGTCTCACTCTCCTCCCAAAGTGCTGGGATTACAGGCTTGAGCCACTGCGCCTGGCCTCTTCTTACATGTTTTGTTGTTGTTGCTTGCTTTTTGGGACAAGGTCTCACTCTGTAGCCCAGGTTGGAGTGCAGTGTCCCATCATAGCTCACTGCAGCCTTGACGTCCTGAGCTCAAGCAATCCTCCCACCTCAGCTTCCGGGATAGCTGAGACCACAGGCACAAAGCCACCATGCCCAGCTTATTCTTTTTGGAGATATGGGGTCCCACTATGTTGCCCAGGCTGGCCTCCAACTCCTGAGCTCAAGCGATCCTCCCCTGCCTTGGCTTCCCAAAGTGCTGGGATCACAGGCGTGAGCCACTGTGCAGGCCTTATATGATCTTAAGCCTCTTCATATCCTGAACTAAATGTAACTTTCCAGTTTCGGCACTTGTTCTGGCACTTTTCCTCCCTCGCTAGATAATACTAATCTTTAATCATGTAGTTTGTTTCCATGCCCATACTACCCTATCTGCTTATAGTGTCTTCCATTTCGCCCAAGAAATCCTACTCAGCTAGCTTGTGTTGTTTTGAGACACTCTCGTTCTGTCGCCCACGCTGGAGTACAGTGGCGAGATCTCGGTTCGCTGCAACCTCTTCCTCCCGGGTTCAAGCGATTCGCGGCCCTACTCAGCCTTTAAAACCGGAATCACGGGTCAAAACTTTCTGGTAAACCACGAGACGGTTTAGGTTATGAAATTCAATGCCCCCTTCCTCTGCAGTCCTGCAAATCTCCAGTAAAGCACCACAGATTGACGAATATTCCAGCCATTTCCCTCTCCCCTCCGATAGCTCCATTTCCCACTTCTATCCATCTTCTCGAGCTTCCTCAGCTCCTCCACCTCCATGAGGCCTGGAAAGCACCTGGTTCCAGGAATGTGAGTCGGAGGCTCAGAGCGACCAGCGCCAAAAGCTGACGTTCAGATACTGCTGAAACAAACCACAAGAGTGCTAAGGCTCCAGGTAATAGTCCGGCTCCAGGTAATAGTCCAGCTGGGATGACGGTGTGAACTCGCAGGCCCGCCGGCGGTGCATGCCGGGAGATGCAGTCCCGGGCCGACGCATTACCTCTTGGGAGTTGTAGTCTTCGATCTGGTAAACAGAACACAGCAACTCTGATGTCTTCCCCCACCGTCCCCCGAAAACCCTCGCCCCACCCGCGAGGGACTAGGGTAAGAGGAGGGGCGTTGCCGTGGTTGGCCTAGAACTCCTAGGCTCAGACGATCCTCTCGCCTCGGCCTCCCGAGTTAGCTGGGACTACGCGCGTGAGCCACCGCGCCCGGCATACAGTCTGAATTAGTCCTTACGCAAAAAGGGAAGAGGGCAGTCCGTAACCTCGCGCAGGACCAAGCTCTCGAGTTCCAGTCTTGGGCTAGCGCGCAGGGCGGAAGGGGCAAGAAGGCGGATCCGGAAGGCGAAGATACGTTACGCCGACGCGGGCGTGACCCTGGGCGAGAGGGTTTGGCGCGAATTCTGAAAGCCGCCGGCGGAGCGCGCCCAGCGACCAGAGACCGAGCCTTAAGGAGAGCGCGGCGCTTCCCGAGGCGTGCAGCTGGGAGTTGAAACTCGTCTGGGTTGTGCGCAGAAGGCTGGGGCAAGCGAGTAGACTTGAAGTGGGGCGTAAGCCGGGGCGTTGGGGTCCGCGCGGGTCAGGCGCGTGTCACCCCCGCGGGGTGAAGTCGGAGCGCGCGGCCCGTTGGAAAGAGCAGCGCTGAGGGCCACGGTGAGTGTGTGAGGCGCAGGCCGGGCCCTCTATAGCTGCGGCTTGTCGTCGCCCACCTGGGTCCTGGCCGGTCCAATGCTCAGGGGCAGGTGGGGTCTCCGCGCGCAGTGTGAAACCCGGACGTGGCAGGACGTGTCCGCGTCCGACCGACCCTCAGTTGCTGGGGCGAAAACACAGGTGGACCCCAGTCTTTAGAACTAGGGGAGAAACATTAGAGCCTTCATAGCCAACACCCGTTTTATGAGTTTGAGCGAGGAGTCCGAGATCAGAGCGGTGTAGCCACAGCTGTTTAATATCACAGCCAGGGCTTCCGGATTCTTGGTCTGTCTTTCCGTTACACCGTGCTTAGAAAGTACCAACCTGCAATTGCCAAAACAGTATTTTCGTCATCTAATGCGGAAAACCATTCGCATGATGCCTAGAGAATGATCTGAAGTGAGGCTTGGTTTTCTTAAAACTTTTTTTTTTTTTTTTTTTTGAGATGAAGTCTCCTTCTTTAGCCCAGGCTGGAGTGTAGTGGCGCGATCTCGGCTCACTGCAACCTCCGCCTCCCGGGTTCAAGCGATTCTCCTACCTCAGCCTCCCGAGGAGCTGGGATTACAGGCTCCCGCCACCACGACTGGCTCATTTTTGTATTTTTAGTAGAGACAGGGTTTCACCATGCTGGTCAGGCTGGTCTCGAACTCCTGACCTCAGGTTATTCACCCGCCTCCACCTCCCAAAGTGCTGGGATTACAGGCGTGAGCCACCGCGCCTGGCCCCGGTTTTTTTTTTTTTTTTTTTTAAACTTCTAAAGTGATATGTAATATACATGTAGAAAAATGCACATTCACAACTGTATACAACTCCGTGAATTATTACAAAATATACTGGCCGGTGTAGTGTCTCAAGTCTGTAGTCCCAGCACTTTAGGAGGTGGAGGCGGGAGGACGATTGAGCCCAAGAGTTGGAGAACAGCCTGGTCAAGATGGTGAGACCAGTATCTCTACAAATAGAAAAAATTAGCCAGGCTTGGTGGCGTGCACCTGTAGGCCCAGCTATTCAGGAGGCTGAGAAGGGAGGATCTAGCCTGGGAAGTATAAGCTGCAGTGAGCCGTGATCAGGCCACTGCACTCCAACCTGGGCGATAGAGCAAGACAAAATGAATGTACACCTACGTAATCACCACTTAATAGAATGGTCCCCAGAAGCCTTCCTTATGTAGTATTTAATATTTTCCCCTTTTTACAGTGGTAACTGGTATACTGGTTTCTAATGCGATTAACTAATGTTGCTCGTTTTTGAATTTTATATAAAAATACATCAGGAGTGTTGAGTGTTTCGTTGTTTTACATGCTTGACAACACGATTTTCAGCCTTTTATTTTTTAACTATTCTGGCCGGGCGCGGTGGCTCACGCCTGTAATCCCAGCACTTTGGGAGGCTGAGACGTGCGGATCACAAGGTCAGGAGATAGAGACCATCCTGGCTAACATGGTGAAACCCCGTCTCTACTAAAAATACAAAAAAAATTAGCTGGGCGTGGTGGCAGGAGAATCAATTGAACTTGGGAGGCAGAGGTTGCAGTGAGCTGAGATTGCACCATTGGACTCCAGCCTGGGTGACAGAGCCAGACTCTGTCTCAAAAATAAAAATAAAAATAAGAAAAAATAAGGAAGTTAGTAGGGGAATTTTTTTTTT